CCTGAAAAAGTAACTTCTAACAATCTCATTTTTGAACAGCCTCGTTGTCATAGTGGTGTGTTATAAAGCTCTCGAAAAGAGAAGGACTGTGATAACTTCTGAGAAGAAACATTTGCCCACTGGGCCAAAATCCTAATCTTCAAATTCCTTCATCCTCTGAAAAGGAGCTGGACAATGTTTTGTTTTGGGCTTCCTCAATGACTATGTCACGTAGCAACAGGGAGAATAAGCAAACTGTTAGCCAGTGAAAAACTCCCTCAGATCTCTTAACTCAGATAGCAAGCGGAGAGACTGAAATAGAGTAAAGTAAACAAACGCAATTGAAAGGAACAAGCAACTGCTTGAAGTGCAATGCTGTGTGATTGTCATCTTTGTTAGTAAGGGCATTAGGTGCAGGTTTTACACACAGGCCTGTTTACTTTTACTGGGTCATATACAGTAGGGTAGCTGATAACAGTAAGGATGCTTTCCATTGGAGATCGGGACAAGGTTGAAGTGTGGTTACATATTACAAAGTCAAATTGAGAGCACTGTCTGCAGGTTGATCCAATTAGGAAAATGACTGGCCCTTTGTACCGGAGAGAGACAGAGAGGAGGGGAGAGAGAGGGGGAGAGAGAGAGGGAGAGAGAGAGCAATAAAGGACAGTGAAGATAGGCAAACGACAAGGCTTAGCTAACATAGCCTTCCTTGGAACTCTGAGAACTGCCTCTGAAACAAACTTTGGATAAATATTCCAACCACTGGTGGTTTATGAACTGGAAACAGTTACTTGTAACTAGAGGGTTCTGTAGAAACAAGTAATGCAATATTAGTACCTGTCCAGCTTCATATGTTCCAGTTGTCCAGTGTTAACAACCTCATCAAGTCTTTGTCCAGAGCTGAGTTCCCTGCAACATATGAAGGTGGACTGGTAGATACATTACATGACTGGTTTCTGCAGAAGCCTCTAGTTACAAGTAACAGTGTTAACAACCAGTAGGGATGAAACGGTAGATTTTTGTTTATACTATCTGAATTTGCACAATAAGAACGCTCATTTTAGTTTCTCCCATTTTTTTGCCTGAACACAATTATTTAGTGTTCTACCTTTCTACAACCCGCTATCACACGCACACACGTTGTTCCAATGTATTCTCAAATAAGGCTTGCTAAATGACAGTATTTACAGTGCATTCAGAAAGTATTCAGACCCCTTGACTTTTTCCACTTACAGCCTTATTGTAAAATAGATTCAATTGTTTTTTTCCCCTCAATCTACACACAACACCCCATAATGACAAACCAAAAACAGGTTTATAGAATATTTTGCCAAAAATTTATATTAAAAAAGTAAAAAATATCACATTTACAGAAGTATTCAAACCCTTTACTCAGTACTTTGTTGAAGCACCTTTGGCAGCAATTACAGCCTTGAGTCGTCTTGGGTATGACGCTACAAGCTTGGCACACCTGTATTTGGGGAGTTTTTCCCATTCTTCTCTGCAGATCCTTTCAAGCTCTGTCAGGTTGGATGGGGAGCGTTGCTGCACATCTATTTTCAGGTCTATCCAGAGATGTTCGACCAGGCTCTGGCTGGGCCACTCAAGGACATTCAGAGTCTTGTCCCGAAGCCACTCCTGCGTTGTCTTGGTTGTGTGCTTAGGATCGTTGTCCTGTTGGAAGGTGAACCTTTGCCCCAGTCTGAGGTCCTGAGTGCTCTGGAGCAGGTTTTCAGCAAGGATCTCTGTACTTTGCTCCGTTCATCTCTCCCTCAATCCTGACTAGTCTCCCAGTCCCTGCCGTTGAAAAACATCCCCACAGCATGATGCTGCCACCACTATGCTTCACCGTAGGGATGGTGCCAAGTTTCCTCCAGATGTGACGCTTGGCATTCAAGCCAGAGAGTTCAATCTTGGTTTCATCAGACCAGAGAATCTTGTTTCTCATGGTCTGAGAGTCCTTTAGGTACCTTTTGGCAAAATGCAAGAGGGCTGTTATGTGCCTTTTACTGAGGAGTGGTTTCCGTCTACTTGCTCTACCATAAAGGCCTGATTCGTGGAGTGCTGCAGAGATGGTTGTCCTTCTGGAAGGTTCTCCCATCTCCACATAGGAACGCTGGAGCTCTGTCAGTGACCAATGGGTTCTTGGTCACCTCCCTGACCAAGGCCCTTCTCCCCCGATTGCTCAGTTTGGCCGGGTGGCCAGCTCTAGGAAGAGTCTTGGTGGTTCCAAACTTTTTCCATTTAAGAATGATGGAGGCCACTGTGGACCTTCAATGCTGCAGAACATGTTCAGTACCCTTCCCCAGATCTGTGCCTCGATACAATCCTGTCTTGGAGCTCTACGGACAATTCCTTCGACCACATGGCTTGGTTTTTGCACGGTCAACTGTGCAAAAACAGTATAGACAGGTGTGTGCCTTTCCAAATCATGTCTAATCAATTGAATTTACCACAGGTGGACTCCAATCAAGTTGTAGAAACATCTCAAAGTATGATCAATGGAAACAGGATGCACCTGAGTTCAATTTCGAGTCTCATAGCAAAGGGTCTGAATACTTATGTAAATAAGGTATTTTTATTTTATTTATTTTTTATAAATTTGCTACAATTTCTAAAAACCTGTTTTCGCTTTGTCATTATGGGGTATTGTGTGTAGATTGATGAGGACATTTTTTTATTTAATCAATTTTAGAATAAGGCTGTAACGTAACAAAATGTGGAAAAAGGGAAGGGGTCTGAATATTTTCCGAATGCACTGTATATCTCCTGTACTAAATACCAGTAGAGAGAGGGAAACAAAAGATACTCCATCAGTCACTGACTCAAATCCAACATATTTCTCTAATTACCTGTTCCTTCCTGCATGGTATTAGCTCTCTCACAGTCAGTATTCTGATGTGCCACCGCCCAGCAGCACTATCACCTCCTGTACACACTTCCTCAATGATGCACACTGAGCCCGCGTGTGAGTGACAGGTCTAAGTTTGGCCCGTTCTCAAGGAAACCAGGTGGCCATCTTTTGTCGTCTTCACACTTTTCACTGCAGGTGACACTTTAGCAGTAGCACCACCTGTGTCTTCAGTGCATAGAGAGAGAGAGAGTGTGTGTAATTTGGAGGTTGATGGCATCATCTTTCTCACAAATGCAGAGAGACTGAAAATGGAATAACTGAGAATGAGTAATAACCAATGAAATCCCTAGCCTTACCTATACAACTGATGTAACATTTTAACTAATCAGTGGAGGCTCCTCATAGGATGAAGGGGAGGACCATCCTCAGTGAATTTCATAAAAATTTAAATAGTGAAACATAAAACAGGACAGCTAGTTTCCGTCCTTCTCTGGGTACATTGATTTCAATGCAAAACCTAGGAGGCTCGTGGTTCTCACTCCCTTCCATAGACTTACACAGTAACTATGACAACTTCCGGAGGACATCCTTCAACCTATCAGAGCTCTTGCAGCATGAACTGATATGAGTCCACCCAATCAAAGGACCAGTACTGAAAGCATAAGCTACAGCTAGCTAGCACTGCAGTGCATAAAATGTGGTGAGTAGTTGACTCAAAGAGAAAGAAAGACAATAGTTGAATAGTTTTGAACAAATACATTTCTTCAAAAATGAAGGAGAAGCGCGAGAGAGCGAGAGCTTAATTTCTCACTTTCACTTACTTAGCTAGCAAATGCAGCTAGCTAGCTAGTTTAGCCTAGTGGTCCTCTGTAGCTCAGCTGGTAGAGCACGGCGCTTGTAACGCCAAGGTAGTGGGTTCGATCCCCGGGACCACCCATACACAAAAATGTATGCACGCATGACTGTAAGTCGCTTTGGATAAAAGCGTCTGCTAAATGGCATCTTATTATTATTATTATTATTACTCAAACACCTGGCTCAAACAGTGAGGGATACTATGTTACCTAGCTGGCTATGGCTATCCAACACTCTTCCGAATCAAGGTAAGCTTTTGGTTTTATTAATTTATTGCCATCGGGGCCCGCTGGTGTAACTGCTAAACTGCATTCTAACTGTACACTGTACTCCATGATTGTAGTGGGTTTACTAATGCGTTAGTTCTAGTAGCTATGTTGTTGACTTGACGTTGGCTAATATGGTGACAATGATGTTGGCTGTTTGTAGCGGTTAGCGGTTATGATATGAAGGTTTGGCTTGGAAAGGTTTTTTCGCCTGGTCACAGACAGCTGATGTGTTGTACACTGAAGTCCACAAGCGAAGGGAAAAGGTGAGGAGGAGAGCGCGTAGATGCGAGAAGGAATTATACAACGATCTGGCTGCTATTAAAGTGAACTGTGTTTGCGTGTGATCAGGGATGTATTCATTCCATCGATTCTGTTGAAAAAAACGTTTCTTAAACGGAAGCAAACTGAACAAAACGGAGATAAACATGCCTGAATTTGTCCAATAGAAACTCTTGTTTGCAACTGTTGGACTAATGATTACACCCTAGATCAGCTAGATGCAGGCAAGATTGTGCAAAGCGGTATTGAATGTGTCAATGTCTGTCACCTTGATTACTCAAATTTCTCTCGACCTGTGCACCTACGTTGTAAACCTTCATTCATAGGCTAGGTTGTAGCAACCTCATGATGGGTATAGGGGAAATTCGAGTATCATGTAGTAAGTAGCCTAAACCTATTCATGTTACATTGAGCTGGGTGAATGGAATATGAATGACAGTGATCCAATATGCTGTAATAGAAATAAGGCCATGCTCATTAAAAAATAATCGTCCTCATCATGTTAAACGGCACCGACCGCCACTGTAACTCTGTAATTTAAAATGCATATCGTAATGAAACTGACTGATTTAGTCATGTAAAGCGTCACTGTCTACCGTTTCACTTGATATACTCTTGTTGAGTGCCAAGCTTTAACAAAGAGCATTTTTCTCAAAGTATTTTTTGGGACATTCCCATTCGACAATATGCAAGTCTCGATCTTTCATCTGACTTTAACTATCCATGTCCTATTCTGCAACCCTTAGGCCCAACCAACCGCCACCATGTCGAGCAAACGCGCAAAGGGGAAGACCACCAAGAAGCGCCCCCAGAGGGCCACGTCCAACGTGTTCGCCATGTTCGACCAGTCTCAGATCCAGGAGTTCAAGGAGGCCTTCAACATGATCGACCAGAACCGAGACGGCTTCATCGACAAGGAGGATCTGCACGATATGCTGGCCTCACTGGGTAAGACATGGGCCAGGGGCCAAATGGGAACCAATAGGAAACTGTTGTTAGAGGGTTGACTATATTCTATATACAAGACCTAAACATTCAACTCATGAGTTGAAAATCTAATTGAATTGGCCACACCCCAAAGAATGTAGAGTTTGAGTGCAATTCAAAGAAATTCCACTGTCATAGAACATGCGTTTCATTGAATCTGTATTGCAACAGAAATGCATTTCCCAGCTAAATACTAGTATACTGTAAAATAGAGATATAACAATAAGCAGACAGATCAATAATAACATTTAACCATAATCTACCAAATCAAACCAAAGCCTGACCTAGTTAATCAATGGCTACTGTTGAACAAAATTCAGATTTGACCACTTAACGACATGCTCCGGAACCTTGGCGACTACTAAGTATTTTTTAAACCTCCCGCTTTGGGCTGGATGTGTCAATTTGTAGTTCATACATGCATATCCTATGAGTAGAATTACTGTCTTACCTCAATTAGCCACAAAATCCCTAGTTTGAAAGCAACTGTTTTTCTGGATGTTGTGCTGCGCCATTTTCCCTATATTTTCCCCCAAGTAGGCCAGCCCCCTAGAAATTTGAGTTCAACCAATGAGCTTCAGCCCCTCGCCATATGACTGACGGCTAGCAAGAGGCACATCATGCACCCACAGTGAGAGAGAGAGCAATGACGTGGTGCACAGTGTGAAATAATGTGCAATTTTCGGGGACCACTTTTGGCTAGTGAGGCTACTTTCAGAACTACTGGCTAAAAAGTATACAAAAGTACAGGAGAATCTCTTAAACGTTGACCATGGTGTGTGTGTTTTGTTGTGGTCCCCAGGTAAGAACCCGTCTGATGAGTACCTGGAGGGGATGATGGCCGAGGCGCCGGGGCCCATCAACTTCACCATGTTCCTCACCATGTTCGGAGAGCGCCTCAATGGCACCGACCCCGAGGACGTCATCCGCAACGCCTTTGCCTGCTTCGACGAGGAGGGCTCTGGTGAGACACACACACGCAAGCACACACACACACACGCAAGCACACACACACACAAACACACACACACACAAGCACAAACACACACACACGCAAGCACACACACAAACACTCTTCAATGTCAACCTCTAGCCTCCACCCTCCACCATAACAACAACATCAAACACAAAAGGAAAAACAGATAGAATGGGAAAATTATAGGAATGTAATGATTCACAGATATGCATCGGTCCCCAGTTCATATGTTTAAAGTTGAACTATGCAAAAAATGCTCCACCTTTTCCTGGTTGCTAAAACTCTAATTTCAGTTTATGTAACAAAATAAGCTAGTCTAGTGTAGAGAATCATTGTTCCATCTAAACCGCTGTGAAATATATTTTCCATAACCAAAAATATTGTTGTTTCAGCTGTTTGAAGCTGGTGTACAAAACTGAAAGTAAAAGAAGCAAAAACAAAACTTAAGAACCGGAAGCATAAAAATAGGGCACATAGAACAGATCTACTGCTTCTTAGACTTGCTTTTAAGAAGGATGACAGATCCATAACTCACATTTCTATGTAAATTTGGTCGGGCCGCCCAAAAACTTACATATTGCTAATTTAAAGGCCCACCTCAGAGGAAGTTGATGCATCAATTTCGAGTAATTCCTGTAAGTTGAAAATCATTATTTCAGAAAAAGACTACCAGCCTACCTGTCAAGAGATGAGTCTCAGATAAACCGTGCATATATGAGCTGTTGATATGTTGAGAGTTGCCGTTTGTCTGACTCTTGCCGTTTGATAATTCCAGTGAAATCGCGTTGGATTCCTTATGTCATTAAAATTTTGACATGCACACGGACGTGATCAAATAGCTACTGTATATTCTTCGTTCTCTCATCATTTCAGCTAGCTATGTATCAATGGATTATCTAAATTGCGCAGCTACATTGAGGGAAAAAAGTATTTGATCCCCTGCTGATTTTGTACGTTTGCCCACTGACAAAGAAATGATCAGTAAATAATTTTAATGGTAGGTTTATTTGAACAGTGAGAGACAGAATAACAACAACAAAATCCAAAAAAATGCATGTCAAAAATGTTATACATTGATTTCCATTTTAATGAGGGAAATAAGTATTTGACCCCCTCTCAATCAGAAAGATTTATGGCTCCCAGGTGTCTTTTATACAGGTAACGAGCTGAGATTAGGAGCACACTCTTAAAAGGAGTGCTCCTAATCTCCATGCAAGATCTCACCTCGTGGAGTTGCAATGATCATGAGAACGGTGAGGAATCAGCCCAGAACTACACGGGAGGATCTTGTCAATGAGCTCAAAGCAGCTGGGACCATAGTCACCAAGAAAACAATTGGTAACACACTACGCCGTGAAGGACTGAAATCCTGCAGTGCCCGCAAGGTCCCCCTGCTCAAGAAAGCACATATACAGGCCCGTCTGAAGTTTGCCAATGAACATCTGAATGATTCAGAGGGGAACTGGGTGAAAGTGTTGCGGTCAGATGAGACCAAAATCGAGCTCTTTGGCATCAACTCAACTCGCCGTGTTTGGAGGAGGAGGAATGCTGCCTATGACCCCAAGAACACCATCCCCACCGTCAAACATGGAGGTGGAAACATTATACTTTGGGGGTGTTTTTCTGCTAAGGGGACAGGACAACTTCACCGCATCAAAGGGACGATGGACGGGGCCATGTACCGTCAAATCTTGGGTGAGAACCTCCTTCCCTCAGCCAGGGCATTGAAAATGGGTCGTGGATGGGTATTCCAGCATGACAATGACCCAAAACACACGGCCAAGGCAACAAAGGAGTGGCTCAAGAAGAAGCACATTAAGGTCCTGGAGTGGCCTAGCCAGTCTCCAGACCTTAATCCCATAGAAAATCTGTGGAGGGAGCTGAAGGTTCGAGTTGCCAAACGTCAGCCTCGAAACCTTAATGACTTGGAGAAGATCTGCAAAGAGGAGTGGAACAAAATCCCTCCTGAGATGTGTGCAAACCTGGTGGCCAAATACAAGAAACGTCTGACCTCTGTGATTGCCAACAAGGGATTTGCCACCAAGTACTAAGTCATGTTTTGCAGAGGGGTCAAATACTTATTTCCCTCATTATAATAAAATGCAAATCAATTTATAACATTTGACATGCGTTTTTCTGGATTTTGTTGTTGTTATTAAATAAACCTACCATTAAAATTATAGTGATCATGTCTTTGTCAGTGGGCATTGTACAAAATCAGCAGGGGATCAAATACTTTTTTCCTTCACTGTATGTATCACCGCATTATCTAAATTGCGGCCGTGAATCCGCCATAGAAATAGAAAGAAAATTGCCGGTAATATGGATGGCGTAACTATTGAAAGGTTATTCTTTAAAGTGTTATGGCAGACTATACCTATTGGTGTATTGCCGCCACCTACTGTACGGGGTATTGAAACAAAACAAAAATAATATATTTCATTGTGGGAAGGAGGGGGCTGAGGATAATACAAAATACAAACATTTGTGAGAACAACCATCCCACTCCTTCAGTCACATTCAAATCACATCCCCACACAGGCTCAGGTGCCTGTGAGGAAAGAGCATTCATCGACAGGATTCCTTGTAATGCCTCTGCAGAAAAGTTCCTGAGTCCCCAAAAAACGCTCAGCCACACTGTCAATGATGCCTATTTTCTTCAATATCCTCTCCGTTTGCGCTGTGCAGTTGAAAACCAAAGTAATAAACGCTACAAAGTCCACCTTCTTAACATTCAACATGTCAGGATCCCTCTGTTGACAAGAAACATCCTGTGTCTCTACTCCTACTACCATTATTTATTCCACTTCACTCCTTTCTTCCACTCTTCTCAATGTCTCTGGATAGGAGACATTCTGGACAGCCCTTATTCTTGCCACCTCCGTCTCTCACAGGAAATCTCATATAACCCAAATACACGTGAGTAGGGAGAGACTCTTCATAAAAAAACAATAGAATGGATGGAGTGGGCTTCCATCTGCCATGCAGGTCAGTCGTTGTGCACTTGATCCAATTCTTCACGTATATCCTTTGCATTTACGTCTAGCGCCACCCCAGCGATAACAACATTGATAGGCGCCCTGCTTCGAAGATCCACGCACAACACATTCTAATCCGACATCTTCTTCAAATCAAATCAAATTTTATTGGTCACATACACATATTTAGCAGATGTTTTTTTATTTTTTTATTTTTTTATATGTTATTGCGGGTGTATCGAAATACTTGTGTTCCTAGCTCCTAAAGTGCAGTAGTATCTTAACAATTCACAACAATACACACACAAATCTAAAAGTAAAAGAATGGAATTAAGAAATATATAAATATTAGGACGAGCAATGGAGTGGCATTGACTAAAATACAGTAGAATAGAATACAGTATATACATATGAAATGAGTAAAGCAGTATGTAAACATTATTAAAGTGAATAGTGTTCCATTATTAAAGTGATGAGTGATTCCATGTCTATGTATATAGGGCAGCAGCCTCCAAGGTGCAGGGTTGAGTAACCGGGTGGTAGCAGGCTGTCCTGTAGCTCAGTTGGTAGAGCATGGCGCTTGCAATGCCAGGGTTGTGGGTTTGTTTCCCACGGAGGGCCAGTATGAGAAATTTATGCATTCACTAACTGTAAGTCGCTCTGGATAAGAGAGTCTGCTAAATGACTAAAATGTAAAATGTAGCCGGCTAGTGATGACTATTTAACAGTCTGTTGGCCTTGAGGTAGAAGCTGTTTTTCAGTCTCTCAGTCCCAGCTTTGATGCACCTGTACTGACCTTGAACAGGCCTTGGCTCGGGTGGTTGATGCCCTTGATGATCTTTTTGGCCTTCCTGTGACATCGGGTGCTGTAGGTGTCCTGGAGGGTAGGCAGTGTGCCCCTGGTGATGCGTTGGGCAGACGCACCACCCTCTGGAGAGCCCTGCGGTTGCGGGCGGTGCAGTTGCCGTACCAGGCAGTGATACAGCCCGACAGGATGCTCTCAATTGTGCATCAGTAAAGGTTTGTGAGGGTCTTAGTGGCCAAGCCAAATTTCTTCAGCCTCCTGAGGTTGAAGAGATGCTGTTGCGCCTTCTTCACCACACTGTCTGTGTGGGTGGACCATTTCAGATTGTCAGTGATGTGTACGCCGAGGAACTTGAAGCTTTTCAACTTATCCACTGCGGTCCCATTGATGTGGATAGGGGCATGCTCCCTCTGCTGTTTCCTGAAGTCCACGATCAGCTCCTGGCACCACTCCGCCAGGGCCCTCACCTCCTCCCTGTAGGCTGTCTCGTCATTGTTGGTAATCAGGCCTACTGCTGTTGTGTCGTCTGCAAACTTGATGATTGAGTTGGAGGCGTGCGTGGCCACGCAGTCATGGGTGAACAGGGAGTACAGGAGGGGGCTGAGCATGCACCCTTGTGGGGCCCCTGGGTTGAGGATCAGCAAAGTGGAGGTGTTGTTTCCTACATTCACCACCTGGGGGGGGGGCCCGTCAGGAAGTTCAGGACCCAGTTGCACAGGGCGGGGTTCAGACCCAGGTCCCCGAGCTTAATGATGAGCTTGGAGGGTACTATGGCGCTGAGCTATCGTCAATGAACAGCATTCTTACATAGGTGTTCCTCTTGTCCAGATGGGATAGGGCAGTGTGCAGTGCGATGGGGGTCGCATCGTCTGTGGATCTATTGGGGCGGTATGCAAATTGAAGTGGGTCTAGGGTGTCAAGTAAGGTAGAGGTGATATGGTCTTTAACTAGCCTCTCAAAGCACTTCACGATGACAGAAGTGAATGCTACGGGGCGATAGTCATTTAGTTCAGTTACCTTTGCTTTCTTGGGTACAGGAACAATGGTGGACATCTTGAAGCAAGTGGGGACAGCAGACTGGGATAGGGAGAGATTGAATATGTCCGTAAACACTCCAGCCAGCTGGTCTGCACATGCTCTGAGGACGCAGCTAGGGATTCCATCTGGGCCGGCAGCCTTGCGAGGGTTAACACGCTTAAATGTTTTACTCACGTTGGCCACAGAGAACAAGAGCCCACAGTCCTTGGGAGCGGGCCGCGTCGGTGGCACTGTGTTATCCACAAAGCGGGCGAAGAAGGTGTTTAGCTTGTCCGGGAGCAAGACGTCGGTGTCCGAGACGTGGCTAGTTTTCCCTTTGTAATGCGTGATTGTCTGTAGACCCTGCCACATACGTCTCGTGTCTGAGCCATTGAATTGCGACTCCACTTTGTCTCTGTACTGACGTTTTGCCTGTTTGATTGCCTTACAGAGGGAATAACTACACTGTTTGTATTCAACCATATTCCCAGTCACCTTGCCATGGTTAAATGCGGTGGTTCGCGCTTTCAGTTTTGCGCGAATGCTGCCATCTATCCACGGTTTGGGTAGGTTTTAACAGTCACAGTGGGAACAACATCCCCTATACACTTCCTGATTAACTCAGTCACCGTGTCCGTGTATATGTCAATGTTATTCTCAGAGGCTACCCGAAACATGGATTCCGATTGTTCAGACCAGCGTTGAATAGACCTTAGCACGGGTACTTCCTGTTTGAGTTTCTGCCTATAGTAAGGGAGGAGCAAAATGGAGTCGTGATCTGATTTGCCGAAGGGAGATTGGGGGAGGGCCGTGTAGGCATCCCGGAAGGGGGAGTAACAGTGGTCAGCATTTTAGCAACGCGAGTACTACAGTCAATGTGTTGATAGAACTTCGGTAGCCTTTTCCTCAAATTTGCTTTGTTAAAATCTCCAGCTACAATAAATGCGGCCTCAGGATATGTGGTTTTCAGTTTGCACAAAGTCCAGTGTAGTTCCTTGAGGGCCGTCGTGGTATCGGCTTGAGTGGGAATATACACGGCTGTGACTATAACCGAAGAGAATTCTCTTGGGAGGTAATACTGTCGGCATTTGATTGTGAGGTATTCTAGGTCGGGTGAAAGAAAGGACTTGAGTTTCTGTACGTTATAACAATCACACCATGAGTAGTTAATCATGAAACATACACCACCGCCTTTCTTCTTCCCGAAGAGTTCTTTATTCCTGTCTGCGCGATATACTGAGGACCCAGCTGGCTGTATGGACGGGGACAGTATATCCAGAGAGAGCCATGATTCCGTGAAACAGAGTATGTTACAGTCCCTGATGTCTCTCTGGAAGGAGATCCTCGCCCTGCGCTCATCTACTTTATTGTCCAGAGACTGAACATCAGCGAGTAATATACTCGGAAGCGGTGGATAATGTGCACGCCTCCTGAGTCTGACTAGAAGTCCACTCCGAATACCTCTTCTCTGGGGGGTACGCACAAAGGATCCAATTCGAGAAAGTCGTATTCCAGGTCGTAATGCTGGTGAGTTACCACCGCTCTGATATCCAAAAGTTATTTCCGGCTGTATGTAGTAACACAAAAAACGTTCTGGGCTAATAATGTAAGAAATAACGCACAAAAAAACAAAATACTGCAAAGTTGCTTAGAAGCTAGAAGCAGAGCTGCCATGTCTGTCGGCGCCATCTTGCCAAATGAGGCGCAAAGCACGCTCCTTCTGTTTCCATAGAAACAACAAAATAAAACAAGCCCACTTCTCATTATTCTCATCGACTCCAATGCATCCACAATTTTAATAGACTTCAAACGGATCTCCCAGGTAACAACATCGATCCAAAACCCTTATTCCAACCCCCCAAAAATGAATGGATTTACTAGTCTCCAATAATAATAATAATATGCCATTTAGCAGACGCTTTTATCCAAAGCGTCTTACAGTCATGCGTGCAGACATTTTTTTGTGTATGGGTGGTCCCGGGGATCGAACCATGGCGTTATAAGCGCCGTGCTCTACCAGCTGAGCTACAGAGGACCACTTTACTTCTCTTATTTCCTTTTGTGTTCGCCACTGTAATCCAATTATTCTCACTCATCTCCACGTCATCCGATTCAAACAGAACATCCGCTTCTGCAATTTTCCTCTAACGTCCCCTATTGAACGGTTTGGAGCGTGTATTGAAGCAATGGGTGAGTTTGCCTTAAACTGTAGTGGCCAAAACTATTCATCTTGGGGCGAATGATCATGTTTTTTTTATGCAAACTTGGTAAAAAATGAGTGAAATTTGACAAATTATTCAATGGGTTATGATAATCTGCTGGTAAAAAACGGGGGGTGCACCCCCTATTTTAATTTTCTTCATGGTAAGGCGGCCAAGTGTAAGGTCGTCACTAGTTAGCACAGCCACAAAGTCATAAACCCTGTCTATTTCTAAATGTTCTCTTATTAAAATTGGATTTTACCTTAACCCTAACCTTGACCATACTGCTAAATTTAGCCTAACCTTAAATGAATACCAAAAAACTCATTTTTGTTTTCTTATTAAAATTGGATTTTACCTTAACCCTAACCTTGACCATACTGCTAAATTTAGCCTAACCTTAAATGAATACCAAAAAACTCATTTTTGTTTTCATGATTTCGTACGATATAGCCAATTTTGACTTTGTGGCTGTTTTTATCTAGTGGAAACCCAAGTGTAGGCTACAGAGAAAAGCTGTTTGGCTCTCAGACGACTCGTGAATAGGAAGAACTTTGCAGCAGGTGTTTCTGATCAATAAACATTGCCATGCTGCGGGGTAGTAACATTTAAAATAAAACCCTGCCCTGAAACGAAATGTAGGTTGAAAAGAACTTGCACGTTCTCTTATAGGAAAAGACAAATAGCCTAAAGGCGTCCGCATGCTTCCCATCCAAAACAGTTCGGCAAGGGTTTTTTCCTCTGTTCATGCAGATGACACAAGACGTTTCCGAAGTCTGCGCCCCTTCGTCAACAGTAGGGATTCTTCAATTAAGTGTTTGTTGTTATTCAACGAGAGACTAAACGTTTTCCTGCAAATTCTTTCACTTGAAAAATACTGCACCAAACATCTTACTTAGATGTAAAATTGCACAACTAAGATCTCCTCAACAAAAATGTCAAAATTAATGACAGATTTCTTAAATATTGTTAGATGAATTACTGGCTACAGCGTCTCAAGATGGGCAAACAGTACTATTGCCACTTATTTGTCGTTTTTCAAGCGAAGGTCTTTTAAGGGATTATGCGAGCACACTCGTTAGGTTGCGAAGCCCAAACCGATTGGTTTACTTATGTTGGTGGTCCTCTGTAGCTCAACTGGTAGAGCACGGCGCTTGTAACGCCAAGGTAGTGGGTTCGATCCCCGGGACCACCCATACACAAAAAAAATGTATGCACGCATGACTGTAAGTCGCTTTGGATAAAAGCGTCTGCTAAATGGCATATTATTATTATTATTATTATGTTTTTTACTAATATTGTTTTATTCCTAAAATAGCTTCCTCTCCATCATTTCAGTAGCCCAGGGTTTCCCAAAGTCGATCCTGGGCCCCCCCCTTGGTGTACGTTTTGGGTTTTGCCCTAGCACTACACAGCTGATTCAAATAATCAAAGCTTGATGATGAGTTGGTTATTTGAATCAGCTGTGTAGTGTTAGGGGGGAGGGTGGACCCAACAGTTGATAGGGGTTTTCAATAATTCCGATTTTATTTAGATTGTTCAGATTGACAATAAGAAATAGTTTTGGTAGTTTTGCTTTAAACAGTCAGGGTATTTGGTCATTTTTACATGAACAGAGTAATTCTTGGGAGTTGTGCATGGTCACATTCATATGGAAGCCTATTCCTGCCACCCTATTATGATTATTATTATTTTACTGTTGATACTATCTCAAAATGTGGAGATACGCAAGTCAACATTAGTATCTAAAAATGTCTAGATAGTAGAACATACATATCGGTAGGATATGTTTCTTTATTTGTAGCATTATGTGGCGATTTTCATCTATCCATGTTGCAGAGATCAGCAAACGTGTGGCGAGCTGGCATATTCCCCAACACTTTTGATTCAGTTTGATTTAAAAATATTGACATCAAAGTTTTGAAAATAGGGACAAAATACTGTTCTTTAGACTGATTTGCCTCATGATTTAGCAACTCGTGTACAATTAATCTGTGCTTTCTGTCTGATCAACTGTAGCCTATGTGAGAGCAAAAATGACTAGATTATGTTATAATACTGCTATTGCATCAAATGGTTGTTTTCTGCAATATAATAGGGTTCTTAGAACTCTCATGTGTCTGTGTTAACACTGACAGTAGATGTACGATGCCTTAGGTGATAAACCTAACAAGCCACATTCCATTCATGTGAGGAAGATGGCTCCGGTCTGACTGAGCCTGCAGTTTTTAGACTGAATTGGTGTTTGTGTATAATGAGGTACCAGGGAGAGATGGCTCGAGTATGGATAATGATGAGAGGAAGCTTGTCTTAGGGGCCAAACTCTGGTTTCTGTACAATAAGAACGGTCTTCACGGCAAATGCTATTTGGCTGGGGGATACTCCTTTCTCATATATCAAGTCTCACCTTGTGACCAAATCCATACATCTGTTATTTGTCATGTAGACTAAGAGGGTGTATCTTTGCTATAAAATATATTTGTATTCTTTGTTTCGGGGCTCTCAGCCCAACGGCTGTTGGGCCGACCAGCCTCGGTTATTACCTTATTAATAAGTTTTGAATAAAGTAATATCCTGATTGGTGATTGACCTTGTCTCTCCTCATTATTGATTAGAAATTCCACTACACCTACTGATAACAGCTGCAGGTAGCCTAGAGAAGCCTATGCGCTCTGATCCCCTCTGGCCAGGGGACACGAGTGGTAACGTCATGTATTTATAGCCTAAGCTATGTATTTATAGCCTAAAATAGGACTATTTATATATGTTAAGAGAAAATGTGAATGTGATCAAATTTGGTTTATATTCAAACTTCGGGTGGCTAGGCTACCTAGACAATAGCAATGACATACTGTGTGAGTAACTTTTTCATTACAGATGCAAAGGCCTACATGATGCAACCCTGCCTAAAGCAAACTCAGCCCTGTTAGTTCTATTGTCCAATTTTTTAAAAACCATATGACCTGATTAGAAATAATCTCGTCCCATCATAACAGATTTATTACTATGTCATACCATCCAACTAGGGTGCAGAGTTTTAGCTGGTTAGGTTAGCCCAGTGGTTCTCAAACCTCTCCTCGGGGACTCCCAGACATTTCACAATTTTGTTTTAGCCCTGAAATAGTTCATCTGATTCACCTAATCAAGGGTTAGTTGACAAGTTGAATCAGGTGTGCTAGTTCTGGAATAGATCAAATACATGAACTGGCTGAGGGTCCCCGAGGAGAGGTTTGAGAACCACAGGGTTAGCCTACCAGATCAGGAAATCTCTGGGCCCCAGGAAAAGCAAATCTTGAAATGTTTACTTACGTATCTTGAAATCTCGACTTATTTCGTGTTGGTCTGATGTTTCATGAGCTGAAATAAAAGATCCCAGAAATGTTCCATACGCACAAAAAGCATACGTATTTCTTTCAAATTTTGTTTGCATCCCTGTTAGTGAGCATTTCTCCTTTGCCAAGATAAACCATCCACCTGATAGGTGTGGCATATCAAGAAGCTGATTAAACAGCATGATCATTACGCAGGTGCACCTTGTGCTGTGGTCAATAAAACGCCACTCTAAAATGTGCCACATACGTCTCAACTTTTGAGGGAGCGTGCAATTGGCATGCTGACTGCAGGAATGTCCACCAGAGCTGTTGTCAGATAATTGAATGATAATTTCTCTACCATAAGCTGCCTCCAACGTTGTTTTAGAGAATTTGGCAGTATGTCCAACTGGCCTCACAACCACAGACCACGTGTAACCACGCCAGCCCAGGATCTCCACATACGGCTTCTTCACCTGCTGGATCGTCTGAGACCAGCCACCCGGACAGCTGAAGAAACTGTGGGTTTGCACAACAGAATAATTTCTGCACAAACTGTCAGAAACTGTCTCCGGGAAGCTCATCTGCGTCCTTGTCATTTAATAGACGCTCTTATCCAGAGCGACTTACAGGAGCAATTAGGGTTAAGTGCCTTGGTCAAGGGCACATCGACAGATTTTTCACCTAGTCGGCTCGGGGATTAGAACCAGCGACCTTTCGGTTACTGGCACAACGCTCTTAACCACTAAGCTACCTGCCGCCACAGTGTGCAAATGCTCACCTTTGATGGCCACTGGCACGCTGGAGAAGTGTGCTCTTCATGGATGAATCCCGGTTTCAACCGTACCGGGCAGATGACGAGCGGTTTGCTGATTTCAACATTTTGAAAAGAGTGCCCATGGTGGCGTTGAGGTTATGGTATGGGCAGGCATAAGCTACGGACAACGAACACAATTGCATTTTATCGATGGCAATTTCAATGCACAGAGTTACCGTGACGAGATCCTGAGGCCAATTGTTGTGCCATCCATCCGCCGCCATCCCCCCATGTCGCAAGGATCTGCACACAAAAATGTCCCAGTTCTTCCATGGCCTGCATACTCACCAGACATGTCACCCATTGAGCATGTTTGGGATGCTCTGGATCAACATGTACGACAGCGTTTTCCAGTTCCCCGCCAATATCCAGGAACTTCGCACAGAAGAGGAGTGGGACAACATTCCACAGGCCACAATCAACAGCCTGATCAACTCCATGCGAATAAGATGTTGCGCTGCATGAGGCACTGAGTGTTTTTCTGATCCACGGCCCTCTTTTTTTAAGGTATATGTGACCAACAGATGCATATCTGTATTCCCAGTCATGTGAAATCCATAGATTAGGGCAGTGTTTCCCAAACTCGGTCCTAGGGACCCCAAGGGGTGCATGTTTAGTTTTTTGCCCTACACTCTTAGAAAAAAGCTGCTATCTAGAACCTAAAATGGGAATTCGGCTGTCGCTATAGGAGAACCCATTGAAGAACCCCATTTGGTTCCAGGTAGAACCATTTTGGGCTCATCATTAAGCTTTGATTATTTGAATCAGCTGTGTAGTGCTAGGGCAAAAAAGAAAAACGTGCACCCCTTGGGGGCCCCAGGACCAAGTTTGGGAAACACTGGATTAGGGCCTAATGAATTTATTTCAATTGACTGATTTCCTTATATGAACTGTAACTCAGTAAAATCTTTGAAATTGTTACATGTTGCTTATTTTTTTTTTTTTATCAGTGTAGTATCTTGAAATGTGTAGATAGTAAAAATACACAAAACAAAATGGTGTCGGGAATGGCCTTCCATACATTCACTGGTCTGAGCAGGAGAAGCTCTAAGTAAAATTCCAAAAGGTCTACCATTCGCTTTTGAGACGGGGTAAAAATCCCAAACTCATTATATGAATTGGCTAAATGCCATGTGAATTTCTAAAGATAAATATTAACATAGTACTAGCTCAAAAAAAAAAATACCAGTAAAAATGACAAGTTAATCAGTGTGTGATAGTGATTTCAGATAGAAAAGTGGGGGGACAAAAAGCATAAATTGTGCCCACCACTAATCTGATAGTGGGGTGGTAATGCACAGTCTGCCCTATGGCTCAGCTCAGGTGCCTACACACACCATTGACATTAACACACACACACACTTCTTAAGCTGAGGGCCACTCAGCGATATTAATCGAAAATGGAAAATTGTGTTCATGCAAAAAAATATAGTGAATCGTATCGGAGCCCATGTATCGAATCGTTCATGAAAGGAGAGATGCACATCCGTCGAAAATTAGCTTGATGTAGGTTGTGCAAAGTCATAGCCTGTAGCCTGGTCTAGATCTGTAGCTAGAGCTGATCAACCCTTCTGAGCACATACAGACTACAGGACCAGAGATATACAGGCTACAACCCATTATCCACTAGGCTGAGTCCCAGATCTGTTTGTGCTGTCTTATTCCATGGTTGGCACGACAACGACAACACTAGGAGTCCACTAAGCATAGAGTGACACAGGCCCACTAACTCTCCCCTGTTTGCAGGAGTGATCCACGAGGACCACCTGCGGGAGCTGCTGACCACCATGGGTGACCGCTTCACCGACGAGGAGGTTGACGAGCTATTTCGCGAGGCGCCCATCGACAAGAAGGGCAACTTCAACTACGCCGAGTTCACTCGCATCCTCAAACACGGCGCCAAGGACAAGGATGACATGTAGAGACAGGCGACTGCTTCGCGGCCCACACACCCACACACACACACACAGTGCTTTTTAGCTGGAATGGGCTCCTCTTTAGTGTGTTTTATCGTCAATGGTGATTATTCATTGAAGAGGAGTGGATCACAGCTAAATGCATCTTGACAAGTGCAAGTGGCTTCGTCTCCATGTGTCCTTTCTTTAATTTGTAGTCTTTTATAAATCAGTGCAGATGAACGAATGGTGACAAAGTGATAGGAAGCCATGTTAGACAGATGAGATGCACTGAATACCTTTGTGTGTGTGTGTGTGTGTGTGCCTCAGAAAACCAGCACTACATACTGGCCAGGTTTACCTGTCCTTGCCTCTCACATCAGCACCAGCACTGCCTCTGTAAGAAACTGCACCTTCTATCCAGGAGCTGTGTTGGAAAACCACATTTTAAAGGACTCTATTTTGTTCTATTCATGTAAGGTTTTTGACAATCAAAACAGGTTGTATTTTACCCTCATTGCTTGAATGCTTATTATTCCACATGTTGCTAGTCGTATCCCCTTTTCAGCTGGTCAGGTCAATTCTAACTCTGCCTGCATCGATGCATCACAAACTCATTAAAGCTGGAACATTCAACATGAATGTTGCTAAAGGATCGGACTTGTTAAAAAAGCGAGGGGCAATGTTATGGAGGAAGTCAGCCTTGAAATTGTGTTTTGCCGAGCAAGGTCTTATGCGTTGCCCTTCCAAGGAGGAGTATAAAGAGCAGAAGGAAACGGCTGGGCTGGGTTGTCTGGGTATAATCATGTTTGGGTTGAATTGTTGTGGAAATGTAGCATGCCTGTATAGAACCAACGAAGGACCCTTGTTTCAAAAAAGTTGTTTAACGTGTCCTTTATTCCAAGATGAAGAGTTGTTTCAATGTCATGCTGCATTCCTTTTATATTCTGTATTGGAGAAAAGGAAAGATGTTCCCATACCAGAGTACAGGTGGATTTCCTCACATTGCAGTTGTAACACCATTTTGACAAGTGATAAAATTAAGTAGTCCACTTTAATGAAACACAGGATCCCACTTGTGAAAGGTTTTAGTAAAAAGCACTCAGCACCAGATAGAGTAGGGGGTAGATGCTAGATAGTGTTTCAAGAGCCATTGAGCCTTTAAGGTCAATAACGTCTCTAGAGCTAAAAGGGCTGTCAAATACTCTCGTTGTAACGTATATGCTGGGAGTCAGGAAGCAGGTGCAGAAGGTGAGTTTAATAAGAATCATGACGCTAAACAAAACAGGAGAAGCGTACAGAACGTGAACAAAACCAATACTGACTGATGCTACTGAGGGCTAAATAAAGGGAGAGTAATCAAGGTGATGATGAGCTCCAGGTGTGCTTAATGATGATTGCCAGGACCGGTGGTTAGACCAGCGACGTCGAGCGCCAGAGTGGAAGTAGGCGTGACACTCGTCCTACTACCATAATTATCTACAAATATTCCCCTTGAAGCTTAGGCCTAAATCCAATTATGAGTTTCACATGTATTTGTTATTTATTCACTTTTTAAAATATACAGCTCCACACTAGTAGAGAAGTGGTAACCAAATAACTTGAAGGAAGGCCTCAATGAGCACCTGTAGGTCTGTCTACCTTTTCAAATCTGAACACAATTCAATATGAGAGCTTCAAGTTCCTCGGTGTCCACATCACGAAGGAATTAACATGGACACTAACACAGTCGTGAAGAAGGCACGACAACGGCTCTTCCCTCTCAGGAGGCTGAAAAGATTTGGTATGGGCCCTCAGATCCTCAAAGTTATACAGCTGCACCATTGAGAGCATCTTGACTGACTGCATCACCGCTTGGTATGGCAACTGCTTGGCATCCAACCGCGAGGCGCTACAGAGGGTATAGTACGTACGGCCCAGTACACAGGGGCCGAGCTCCCTTCCACCCAGGCGATGTCAGAGGAAGGCCCTAAAAATTGTCAAAGACTCCATCCACCTAAGTCGTGGACTGTTCTCTCTGCTACCGCACGGCAAGTGGTACCGATGCACAAAGTCTGGAAACAAAAGGACCCTGAACAGCTTCTACCCCCAAGCCATAAGACTGCTAAATAGTTAACCAAATAGCTACCCGGGCTATCTGCGTTGACCCTTTTTGCACCAACTCTTTTGACTCATTACATGCGCTGCTGCTACTGTTTATCTATCCTGTTGCCTAGTAACTTTACCCCTACTTATATGTTCATATCTACCTCAATTACCTGCACATTGACTCAGTTCTGGTACCGCGTGTATATAGCTAAGTTATTGTTATTCATTGTGTAGGGCCTTCTGTAGCTCAGTTGGTAGAGCAAGGTGCTTGCAACGCCAGGGTTGTGGGTTCGATTCCCACAGGGGGCCAGTATGAAAAATGTATGCACTCACTAACTGTAAGTAGCTCTGGATAAGAGCGTCTGCTAAAATGTAAAATGTATTTATTCCTCATGTTATTATTTTTCAATTTTTCTCTCTGCATTGTTGGGAAATAAGCATTTCACTGTTAGTCTAAACCTGTTGTTTACGAAGCATGTGACAAATAACATTTGATTTGATATGAATGGGTGTTCAATTTTACACAAATGTTTCATCAAACAAAAAGGGTGCCAACCTTGAATGGCAATTCTGCCACTTTTCAAACTCATATTCATTATATCCAGCAGCATGTATGTGAAAATGGCGCGTTTCTATGATCTGTGGTTAAAAAGATAAGGTCCTACACTGAACAAAAACATAAACGCAACATGCAACAATTTACAGTTCATATAAGGAAATCAATCAATTGAAATAAATTCATTAGGCCCTAATCTATGGATTTCACATTTAAAAAATAATAATTTGCAGACACCCTTATCCAGAGCAACTTCCAGTAAGTAGTGAGTGCATACATTTTCATACTGGTCCCCAGTGGGAATTAAACCCACAACCCTGTTATTGTAAGCGCCATGCTCTACCAACTGAGCCACTCAGGACATGAATACAGATATGCATCTGTTGGTCAGAGATACTGTACCTTAAAAAAAAAGTAGGGGTGTGGATTAGAAAACCATTCAGTATCTGGTGTTACCACCATTTTCCTCATACAGCGCGACACATCTCCGTCGCATAGAGTTGATAAGGCTCTTGATTGTGGCCTGTGGAATGTTGTCCCACTCCTCTTCAATGGCTGTGTGAAGTTGCTGGATATTGGCGGGAACTGGAACACGCTGTCGTACACGTCGATCCAGAGCATCCCAAACATGCTCAATGGGTGACATGTCTGGTGAGTATGCAGGTCATGGAAGAACTGTGGCATTGTGTTGTGTGACAAAACTGCACATTTTAAAGTGGCCTTTTATTGTCTCCAGCACAAGGTGCACCTGTGTAATGATCCTGCTGTTTAATGAGCTTCTTGATATGCCACACCTTTCAGGTGGATGGATTATCTTGTCAAAGGAGAAATGCTCACTAAGAGGGATGTAAAGAAATTTGTGCACAACATTTTAGAGAAATAAGCTTTTTGTGTGTATGGAACATTTCTGGGATCTTTTATTTCTGCTCATGAAACATGGGACCAACACTTTACATGTCACGTTTATATTTTTGGTTAGTATAAAAAACTGCTTCTCTGCGACATCACAGGGTAGGATTAAAATTAAGAAAAACAGTAGTTTTCTAAACCTGCAACAAGTTTCTAGCCAGAGGGTATTTTCTTGCTCGCCACATCACCACAAATCTGTGTTTGAAAATCACTGTTTAAAATTTTATGATGTCATCAGGTAGACCTTTTTTACTTTACATTTTTTTCTACAAATGCACCATTTTCACATACACAATCCTGGACTTTTTTATTAATTTTTTATTTCACCTTTATTTAACCAGGTAAGCCAGTTGTGTTACAAAGTGGGATAAAAGTGGATTTAATTCGTAAATTGTTGTTAACATTCTACACAAAATACTCTGTCAGTGGAAGAAATATTCTAACTTTCTTTTACACTTATGACAAATATATTTCTTTAAATCTTGATTAGATAAGTATTCAACCCTCTGAGTCAATACAGGTTAGAATCACCTTTGGCAACAATTACAGCTGTGAGTCTTTCTGGGTAAGTCTCTAAAAGCTTTGCACACCTGGATTGTACAATATTTGCCCATTATTCTTTAAAAAATTCTTCAAGCTCTGTCAAGTTGGTTGAAGATAATTTGCTAGACAGCCATTTTCAAGTCTTGCCATAGATTTTCAAGCGAATTTAAGTCACAACTGTAACATCTTGGTAACCAACTCCAATGTATATCTTGCTTTGTGTTTTAGGTCATTTTTCTGCTGAAAGGTGAATTTGTCTCCCAGTGTCTGTTGGAAAGCAGACTGAACCAAGTTTTTCTAGGATTTTGCCTGTTTAGCTCTATTCCCTTTCTTTTTATCCTAAAAAAAACTCCCTAGTCCTTGCCAATAACAAGCATACCCATAACATGATGTAACCACCACCATGCTTGAAAATATGCATTGTTTTTGCCCCAAACATAACACTGTATTCCGGACAAAAAGTTAATTGATATGCCACATTTTTTGCAGCATTACTTTAGTGCCTTATTGCAATCAGGATGCATGGTTTGGAATATTTTTATTCTGTACAGACTTCCTTATTTTCACTCCATCCCCAGTTATCTCCTATCACAGCCGTTAAACTCTGCAACTGTTTTAAAATCAGCAATGGCCTCATGGAGAACTCCCTCAGCAGATTCATTCCTCTCCGGCAATGGAGCTTGAACGGGCGCCTGTATCTTTGTACTGACTTGGTGTATTGCACAGGAGGTTGGTGACACCTTAATTGGGGAGGACGGGCTAGCGGTATTGGCTAGAGCGGAAAGGTATCAAATACATGGTTTCCATGCCATTCCATTTGATCCATTCAGGCCATTATTATGAGCTGTCCTGCCATCAGCAGCCTCCTGTGGTGTATTGGTGCCACCATCCAAAGTGTAATTAATAACTGCACCATTCTCAAAGAGATTATCAATGTTTTTCGTTCACCAATCTACCAATAGTTGCCCTTCTTTGCGAGGCATGGGAAAACCTCCCTGGTCTTTGTGGTTGAATCTGTGCTTGAAATTCACTGCTCAACAGAGGGACTTACAAATATTTGTATGTGTGGGGTACAACGATGTAGTCATTTAAAAATCATGTTAAACACGATTATTGCAGAGAGTCCATGCAACATGTGACTTAAGCACATTTCTACTCCTGAACGTATTTAGGCTTGCTATAGCAAAGGGGTTGAATCCTTGACTCAAGACATTTCAGCTTCTCATTTGTAATGAATTTGTAAAAATTGAGAAACACAATTACAGTGTGTGTAGATCAGTGACACAAAATCTCAATTTAATCCATTTTAAATTCAGGCTGTAACAAAATGCTGGAAAAAAATCAAGGGGTGTGAATACTTTGTGCTGGAGATAATGAAGTTGAAGTGGTGGAATTGTCCTTGAACCCTACAGGTTGTCCAAAAAAGTACATCAGGGATACCCCTATGAATAGACCAAAAAAGTTATCTGGAGTACTCCAGACCACACCATCTAGTAGTGTAATTCCATCCAAGAAGGTAACTATCCAAAGGTTATGTACACCTCTGGACTTGCCTTAGAAGACAATAATTGTGATAAAACTGGGGTGGAAATCCAAGGTACAATATCTTGCCCATGTAATTAGTTCCAAGAAAGTTATCTTTGTGTTGAGACAAAAATAAAACATAAGGACATGGTTAATTCTACACATGGTCAAGTTCGATAAAAAAAACAGTGCATGGATCAGCGTATGGAAAATTGTTTTATTCTCTGAAATGCTTGTACAAAACACACTTAAAGTTTAAGGCATATATTGCACAGACTATTCAAACGTTTCTATGTAGAAGGGTATGTTCCCTCAATCCCAGGTTTAAGGCACAATAGCCAGTTAAACTGTCCATACATCAGCCATGATTCTTACATTGAAATGGGAAAACATTTTTAGGATGCATTTGGTTGTATTGAGAAGCTACACATTTGACAAAATTCACACAACCCCCACCCAGACATATATTTGCATGCATTTTCACATTGGCATCTACGCCTCATGTTTCATTCTGCATCCAAAACCTGATAGATATATAATAGCCTTTTCTAAATAATGTTCAGTTTCCAGCATCGTAATAAGTAATATGTACTCACAGTGGCATGTAGTAATGTAGAAGTGTAGTAATGAATAAACCACGTACCCGCTTTATTGTACTGCATCTATATTCAAAACCCATTAAAAATAGTTACCATTTTTTGCTTAGTATTCAGTATGACTCAAGTCTGACTGAACTCTTCAGTCCCCCAAACTGTGTGAGAAAAGAGGTACAACTCTTTAGCACATCTCCGGTAGTAGAGTATCTATAAGAGCTACCCTTCCCCACTGACATACTAGACAATTCAGAAAATGGTGCCGACATCCAGCCGTATGAAAGAGCAGAAAACGAGGGGTAGCCTATATATCTGGGAGACATCTGACATGAGGAAGAAGGAATGTGGATATGTGCTAGTCACAAATCTAGGTTAATAACACGGAATTCTAGCTGCAAAAAAAATTATATATGAACCACCAGGGTTATTAAATGTATGGCACCGGTAACAGCTAAAAAGTCTAAGTTAGACCCATTTGAACTGACCTATGACAGACAAGAAATTGACTTTGCTGCAGCACTGTTTACGTAGTAGGGCCCAATTCACTTTTGTGCAGCGTCGATTTGGCCATAATATGTAGTATGAAATAAGACTGTTTCATGGAAACTACAACTGTATAATAAAAAGTTTAAAATACTGTAACGAGAGGATATACTTCGCTAACACCGAGTGAAAATACAGAGAGGAAAGGAGAGACAGTTTGCTTCTCAATAACGTCAACATTGATCAATGAATTCAATACTGACCAGATTGTCATCCAAGCGAACAACAGGTGTTTCAATTAAGACATATTTTGGTTTGAAATACAAGGACCAAATCTTAAGCCGCCAATGACACGCTACTTTGGTCAATCCCTCTCCAAACAGGAGGGCCCAAAAGCTTGAAATTTGTGACAGGCTTCATCCATAGAAGACTATGGCATAATAGGGCACTTATAGCAAGTGTTACGTTACCCTTAAGAATGAGGAGACAGCGTCACCCGACTAAGCCTTTAGCTTCGCCACAAAATTGATTTCTGTAATGAGACCAATGTGACCTTCCACCCCATCGCTCTCAAACACACAAGAATTCCACCTCCTTCACATCCACATTAAAAACACTACGTCCCTGGAAATCGTACGATGCATAAAGATAGCGCAGAAGTAACAGAGAAAAAAACAAACATATTTTTCATTATATATATATATATATATATATATATATATATATATATATATATATATACACACACACACCCCCACACACTACCAGTTAAAGGTTTTAGTATACCTACTCATTCAAGGGTTTCTTTATTTTTACCATTTTCTACACTGTAGAATAATAGTGAAGACATCAACAGTATGAAATAACACATATGGAATCATGTAGTAACCAAAGAAGTGTTAAAAAAATCAAAATATATTTTATATATTTGAGATTCTTCAAATAGCCACCCTTTGCCTTGATGACAGCTTTGCACACTCTTGTCATTCTCTCAACAAGCTTCACCTGGAATGCTTTCCCAACAGTCTTGAAGGAGTTCCCACATATGCTGAGCACTTGTTGGCTGATTTTCCTTCACTCTGCCATCCGACTTATCCCAAACTATCTCAATTTGGTTGAGGTCGGGGGATTGTAGAGGCCAGGTCATCTGATGCAGCACTCCATCACTCTCCTTCTTGGTAAATTAGCCCATACACAGCCTGGAGGTGTGTTGGGTCATTCTCCCGTTGAAAAACAAATGATAAAAAAAAAAAAAAGCCCAAACCAGATGGGATGGCGTATGCTGCAAAATGCTGTGGTAGCCATGCTGGTGAAGTAAATAAATCAGACAGTGTCACCAGCAAAGCACCCCCACACCATAACACCTCCTCCTCCATGCTTTACGGTGGGAAAATACACATGCAGAGATAATCCGTTCACCCACACCGCGTCTCACAAAGACACAGCGGTTGGAACCAACAATCTCCAATTTGGACTCCAGACCAAAGGACACATTTCCACCGGTCTAATGTCCATTGCTCGTGTTTCTTGGTCCAAGCAAGTCTCTTCTTATTATTGGTTTCCTTTAGTAGTGGTTTCTTTGCAGCAATTCGACCATGAAGGCCTGATTCACACAGTCTCCTCTGAACAGTTGATGTTGAGATGTGTGTTACTTGAAAATGCCAAGAGTGTGCAAAGCTGTCATTACGGCAAAGGGTGGCTATTTGAAGAATCTCAAATATAACATTTTTGATTTGTTTAACACTTTTTTGGTTACTACATGATTCCATGTGTTTTTTCATAGTTTTGATGTCTTCACTATTATTCTACAATGTAGAAAATAGTAAAAATAAAGAAAAACCCTTGAATGAGTAGGTGTTCTAAAACGTTTGACCGGTAGAGTATATACACATACATACACAGAAAAATACTGCTTTCCTGCTAAGATACTATTTTGGAAATAGGTAAAAAAAATAAAAAATAAAAGTTGAGTTCATATTCTTTGTAACTGATGATTTAGAGTGTGTGTCTTAAAATGTAGAATCCATGGTGGCCACTTGTTTACAGTAGTTTAAGGCAAGGAGAGCGGAGACAGACATTGGAGCAGTGCAGTCAGGCACACTGCAATACAATCAATTTCCCTTCCGCCTGTCTTCCGGCACTGTGAGGAGAGGTGAAGGCCGTACAAAAAAGTGAAAATATCTAAAGTGCATAAACTGTACTGGAGGAGCACAATGCTCGGGCTTGAAAAACACACACCTACCTGTCTCAGCCCCAGGCCCGCCCTTGTTTAACCTTGGTGGGAATGATTGACAGGCTAGACAGCCGGAGTTAAAAGCAGTCTTAATACATTCAACCAAGTCTAGTACTGCTACTGATGAGCCTAGCTCTACTGGTGCTGGCCTCAAAACTGTAAAAAAGAAAAAAATAAGAAAACATATCACAGGGGAAGGAAATGTCCCCTTCTGGAAATAGTTGAGATAGTGGAAAAGGGAGTTAAACTACATCATAGAACTCTGTGTTGTCGTGCTTATGTACTCTGGAACGTTGAAAGGTTCCGCCCAGCAACAGCCTCCATTGGATAAAAGTTTTAAAAGTCCTGATAAAAATGTTTAAAAAGCACTGTCTTTAAAAACACTTGTCTTTCCATCCTAGTGTCTGATGTATGAACCGTATGCATCAGTTCTGCCATATCCAAACTGTGGAGCATACAGTGTCAGAGGGGCTGATGAAGGGAATATGTTCTCGTGTGTACACACACAGTTAGGGGCAGTCTGAGTAGGGATATGGTGCTCCCACACATACACAGACCAGGGTGTGGCCGTGGCTCTAATTGACCGTTTCGCTGACGGCGCGCAGGGTGTGCTGTGACCCCCACATGGTGGCCATGGGAGTCTGAACCACTGGGACAGGCTGTCGGACAGTAACGTCACTGTGGACCACACTCCACACACTGGGCACCGACTGGGCCCTCTGGACACTGCTGTTGGGGATGGAGGAGGACAGGGGCTGGAGGGAGGCCAGGCCCAGGAATGGGGTGAGGGCTGGTGGTGCTGGGGCTAAAGGTGGGGCCGGGGTTAGGGTTGGGACTTGGGTAGAGCTTGGAGCTGGGACTAAGGTTGGGACACAGGACAAAGTTGGTGCAGGGGCAAAGGTTTGAACAGGGCTTGGGGCTGGGACAGGGGGTTTGGTTGGAACAGGGGTTGAAACTGGCACTAGGACTGGCTTTTGGGCTAGGCGGGGAGGCACAGTTGGAGCCGGTACAGAGGCCACGGCGAGTTTAGGTGCAGAGGAGACTGTGACAGGGATTAGTACTGAAACTGGGGACACCACAGCCTTGTCCGTAGGACTCTGCTCTTTGGGCGAGTCAATTGTAGCTTGGCTCTGCGCCGGTGGAGGGGTCGGACCCATAGCACTGCTGCTGTGGCTGCAGCCACCTGTGGCTTCTGTAGCGGCCCTGCTCTGGTACTCCTGAAGCAGCCTCTTCTGACTCTCGTGCTCGGCAGCCCTCTGGAGAGCTGCATCCACCAGCAACCTCAGGTCACTGAAGTCCTGGCTGGGGCACAGCTCTGGAGGTGTGGGGGGCGGCGTGTTGAATAGCCCGCCAGTGGGGCTGGCGCTGATAACCTTGGAGCTGTTCTCCTCAGCCACCCTCCTCAGGAGACCCTGCATGTCCAACTGCATCAGGGCCTGGACGCAGTAGCCCTCTTGGCCGGGGTAGCCAGCTCCCAAAAGGATGGTAGTGGCAGTATTTCCCAGGAGGCTGAGGTCTAGTGTGGGGGCTGGCCGGATGACAGAGGGCCTGAGAGGGGGCAGGGCTGGAGAGGGGACTGAGGAGGTGGGGCTTTCAGGGTAATTACCTCCACCACATCCTCCAGTGGATGGGCGGCCCTCGCTCTTCCCTGCCCGCCTGGAGATGGTGAACTGGGTAGGGTCTTTGCCGTCCTTGCGGAGCAGGTCAGGGAGGAGGCGGCGGCGGGCGTTGATGAACCAGTTGCATATCTGGAAAAGAGGAGTCAGTAACTTTAACAACGCCTGCGAAAAAAACTGGGGTGCATCTCAAAAGCCTAACATGGATTCCCTCAAGAACCAAACTACAAGAATATGGACAGTTTATTAGGTACCTCGTTCACGAAAATGGATCGCTCCTAAATGGATCGTCAGTCACGTGGCTGTGGCTTGCTATAGAAAGCAGGCAGACAGGCATCTACTGTTTGTTCGATTGAACGTTAGAATGGCAAAATGAGTGACTTTGAGCGTGGTATGATAGTCGGTGCCAGCATCTCAGAAACGACCACCCTCCTGGGCTTTTCACGCACGACAATGTCTAGGGTTTACCGAGAATGGTGTGACAAACAAAAAATATCCAATCAGCAGCAGTCCTGTAGGCTAAACCAGCTCATTGATGAGGTTGAAGGAGAATGGCAAGAATCGTGCAAGCTAACAGGCGGGCAACAAACAGACAAATAACGCTGCAGAACGGCATCTCAGAACGCACAACTCTAGTCGATCCTTGTCAAGGACGGGCTATTGCATCAGACGACCACACCAGGTTCCACTCCTATCAGCTAAAAACATGAAGAAGTGGCTCCAGTGGGGACATGATCACCAACACTGGGCAATTGAGGAGTGGAAAAACATTGCCTAGTCTGACAAATCCCAGTTCCTGTTGCGTCATGCTGATGGCATTGTCAGGATTTGGCGTAAGCAGCATGAGTCCATGGACCCATCCTGCCTGGTGTCAACGGTACAGGCTGGTGGTGGTGGTGTACTGGTGTGGGGAACGTTTTCCTGGCACACGTTAGGTCCATTGATACCAATTGAGCAACGAACATTTCCGACACCACGTAGAAGCCATGCCACTAAAAATTCAGGCTGTTCTGGAGGGGGGTCCGACCCGGTACTAGATGGGTGTACCTAATAAAACTGGCCACCGAGTGTAAATCTCAAGTCACTTGTACTTTCTAGTTTAGTGTGCCAAGTCAACTACAAGACAATAATAATTAGCTCAACTCATAACTCAATTGAGGCATATAATGAAGAGCTCAAACTGGTCCGAGAGCAGTTTTTTGGAATGAGACTTCTGCCCACATGTTCATTCTCCTGCACTCCTCCAGGCCTTGTTGACCTCCATCTTGTGGTAAAAACCTCCCACACACAGTGAGATGAAGGCAGCTGGCATTAATGAAGTCTCAGCTGGAAAACGCTGCTCAACAGAGCAAGTAGAGCGCAGCCAACCAGGGGCATTCCACTGCACTATAGGTTTGTCAGCTCTGCTTGCTCTCTGCTCAGTCCAGGAATTCCTCATGTCACCACTCCTGGGGTGTGAATGCGTGAGTATTTGAGGAGAGAGGAAACAACAACAAATGGGTGTCCTACAAGGTGAGAAGGGAAGACTACGGCGACGGTGTCAAATTCATCCGTACAGTAGTACCGCACTCATGTGACATTTGAATACTGTCGTTTGCTAAAGCTGTTGAGAAACACCCTAGAGCTGAAGTACGACGATAAGTACAACGTAAATATCATGGGATGGATCTCCATTTAGCACCGGCCTGAAGTAGGCCTATAGGTGCTACGGCGTTCATCTCCCCGCACACATAAAACGGTCATGGAGGCCAATAGAGAACACAATATCTGATAAGAAAAACAACCATCTTCAACAGAGTGAGTACGTAATCATGACTCCATCTAGGCCCAAGTGTCTGCTATGATCATCTGTTTACACTGCATCAGGCACTAATCAGCATATCTGGAACAATTCGACTGGAGGACATTTAAACTAATCGAGGGGAACATGCCGAAACCGGACCTAATAGTTTGTTAGAATAGTTCAAAGCAAACCTTGCTAGGGTATAGGCTATGTTGGTGTAGGGCTGGGCGATATATATAGAATTCATTTGATTCATTCTAAATTGTATTTTTGCACGACATTCCAAATGCCTGTATCGAGGTTTTGTTCTTTTTCGTTTTTAGGAGCGTTTGTCTGCTTGTTTTTGGTCTCGTCTCCGTCGCTCCTCTGTGCACCTTCCCAGTTACACCAGAGATCTGTATATAATGACGAGATGCACGTCTCCGCCCTAACAATGGGAGTCGTTGTCCCAAAGGCGGGAAGGTAGGCGACAGGCTTAGGTACAAAATAAGCCCATAGAAACGCATTGGCTTTATTTTGGACAGGTTTTAGCGAAAGTGAAACATCTTGCGTCACCTCTTCCTCTATGGTTTACACACACACCCCAAGCCCCTCCCACTGCCTCACGCCAACAAAGTTGAAACCACATCTTCCTCTCTGACAAGCAGTTTCAACTCACTAATTGCAGTTGAGGTTCGGTCCAACAGAATAGGTCATATTGACACCAAAACACATTGAGACTTTATTTTACTGTAATAGCAAACGTTTCTAATGATACCCTTTTTATGTCTCAACTAGTCAAATTGAGCACAAAGCAGACAACTAAAACGAGTGTATCAATGAACATTGATTCTGGAAAATGAATGCTCAGTTTGTCACATGTGGCAATGGGTTACCACTTACCACTAGCAGCATTTTAGCCAAAGACTGTTATACTAACAGCCTAGTCTGTTTTATAAATGTGCAATAAGCATAAAACAATAAGGAATTGGCAACTCGTTCTCATTCTGAGAAATAAGGTAGCCCACTTGACAGCTTGTCTGTCGAAATGTTGGTTATTAGGATATTAAATTGCATCTGAGCTCCTGGAGTGTGCGGCTTTCCTTTTCTTTTTCAAGCCCACTTGATTTCAACATCTGAACAAAGTGGACAGGATAACACGCTTTTCAAACAGAAGGGTGTGTTCATAACAATTCAACTGTTCAACCTTGTTAGCTAGCAAATAGATCCAAGTTGGCTAAACTTGAAATATAAAGATTAGCTGGCTAATCCCTAGCACGTGGGCTTGAGAGACCGTTGATGAGACCTGTGATAATTTTCTTTAGCCTAATGCCTGCTACAAGAAGTTAGTCATTATTAGGGAATGTGCATTATGCATGGTTCTACTACATTTTTTACAAAAACTGCATTTTCATAGACTGACCTGAAAGCCAGATCAGTGATTATTGCAACAACAAAAAACATTTGATTATTGCTGACTGCTTGAAATGCAGTGTATTTGACCTTTAAACAACAATGCTTATTTAGAGAGATCTTGAATCGCCAATAAGTTTGAAAATAAAATTGAGATATGATTTTTAGGCCATATCACCCAGCCCTGTGTTGGTGCTCCACTACACAGCTCAAAGTTTCCACCTGGCGAAGGCTACTGTAGGCCAAAATGTTGTCTGTGGACTGCTGTATGATTAGGCTCAATTCAAGCATTTGGGAGCAAGAATGAACAAGGAATTTTTTTTGTACATTGTTTATTTTAAAAAGGCTAGACTGTTCCCGTTCAACTCACCTGCAGCACAGAGAGGCTGGTCTGATCTGACAGGCCGAGTTTCTCCTGCTCTGAGGGGTAGGCGTTGAAGCGGTGCTCGTACAGCCAGCTCCGCAGCACCTGCACCGCCTCCTTGGGCAGGTTGCCACGCCGACGCCGCTTGCCCGAGCCCCCACCACCTCCAGACAGGTCGAGAGGGAAGCTGTCGTCCTCAAAGGGGTCACTGTCAGACATGGCTGACAGCTCCTGCTCTCGCATCCGCTCCTCTTCCAGAGCTGAGGACAGGGGGTACAGAGGGGGTTGGTGAGTCAGTTGGTAGGCAGTGCTAGTGTTTGTATGGGGGGACACTGTTTGCGCTCATAATAGGCCAGGGTTGGACATTCACTAACTTGTTATAGAATGTATTGCTTTCCCTCCAAAACAGAGACTGACATAACCAACTACTTGTTGTGTAGGCCTGTGTTTCTTGTTTGTTCTCTTATCGTGCATTCACCGATCTATAAAGAAACAGGTTGGTGAAGTATTGATCAGTACTCGGCCTACAATATGATCTATGATTTATGTCAGCAATGTGATTGATACATAAATCAAGTTACACTGATTGACTGATAGGCAAGTGTGGGTGTAGTAGTTAGTTGAGTACAACTGTACAAGCGTGCATGATGGCACAATGACACACCATCAATAAATTAAGTGACAATATATGCTAATTGGAAGAAGAAGAAAAATATACACATACATATACATACATATATACATACATATACATATACATATACATATACATATACATATATATATACATACACACACACACACATTGAAAACAAGATTTGTCTTCATTCCCCAAATCATTATTTGTGGCACTGGGGAAGACCAACTCAAAATGGAGCATGGTTTCTCCCAGGGTATAGAATGCAGTAAATGTCTTTCTCTTGGTGAAATCTGACCCCTGGAGTGAGCTCCGGTCCTCACAAAAGGAGATTGTGTGCATATCACCATCTCCAGCAGCTAGGGATCTATAGACTGTGCGAGGGGCTATTTTCACCTTTTGCCAGGGAATTTCAGTCCTGGAGCAATGGACATTCTTTTAACTTTTTTGCATCCCCAAAATGAATGTGAATTCAATGGCTTACAGGGCGTTTGCGGCTAGCTACAATGAAGTTAGAACAATTGCGCATGAAAGGGCAAAACTGATGATTTATTATAAATATGCTAGCTACCAAACTTGGTAGCCATAAGAATCCGACTAGATGTTTATAACTTCTCTCTAGTCGGAATGGAGCTATGCCAAGATCAAGACAGCGCCCGCGTGAGATACAGGTCAGAAAACGTACCTCAATCCAGGGATGGGAGATGGCGCTGTACTCCTATAGATCCCAATCGACTAGGGATGTGCATCTTTCGCTTTCAAGACGAGTCGATACACATCTAGATACATGGGCTCCGATACGACACGTTTTAGTTTGAAACGATTCGGTTTGAAAGAACGAATAGATGCAATTCGGTCCGATGCACTAACGTTTGTTGCATAAACGTATTCTAAATGAAAATCCCCTGCTGATGGAGCTCAAGAGCTGGATCTGTCTGACCTGACTGTGTGTGTGTGTGTAAATTATGCTTATGATGTACAGTATGTACTATGCGTGTGTTGTAATGGGACATTTTGTTGTGTGACCACATATCTGAGTATGTGACTAACCTTGTAAAACGGTCCTATTATAATCTTATGTTCTTGGGAGTATCATCCTGTGCAGCAAACCAGCTTGCACCTGCGTCCTTGTATAGACAAAGTCCCGCCGAAGAACAGGAAACTATAAAGATATGTGCTCATCACCAAATGTTTCAGAATTCAGACTGTCTACAGTGCGCTGTGTAACTCTTATTCTCTCTGAGTTCAGAAAATAAATAATCTTGGTTTGACTTGGACTCCAGCAGATCCTTATTTTATAATATCCACCACAGGCAGCCTACATCGTGGTGGTCAGTGCACGAAGCTGGGAACAGTGCGCATTTGGACAACCAATATTGCCTGGGCTTGTTCGGCAAGCAAAATGACTCACAGTTACCTGCTGAGTTTGACACATTTACATTTTAGTCATTTAGCAGACGCTCTTATCCAGAGCGACTTACAGTTAGTGAGTGCATACATTTTTTCATCATCATCTTCTTCCTCCCCATCTTCCTCTGAAGGAGGACGCATCAGTTGTCCAATAAGACGAGGTATTTTCAGAAGACGTGCCTTTGTTTGCTGAAATTCATCCTTTTTAATAAAACATAAATCAAATACAGCGACTCGGTGTAACGGTAGCTAACGCACTTTTGTACAACGCTCTGTTCTGTACATTTGACCTTATTTAAGTGCCCCAAAAACGTAATACTTCCAGGTCAAATGTAATATGAATACCACTGTAAAGCACAATTTCTCCCCTTCCAGCAAAGTTAATGACGAGACCTTCCTGCTGCTAGTCTCTGCATGATCGAAGAAAGCAATGGTGCTCCGCCGGGTCTTTTTAAAATGGCGGGTGGGGAAGCGAAAGCTGTCCAACGTATCGCCTCTAAAATGTAAATAAAACATTATAAAGAGTTTATATATAATGTCTCATTACATACCTATTTTAAGGTTTGTGTCGAATTTGAATAGGGTTTTTAGGGCAGCGCTAAATTTTTCACAATGAAACTGTGGGTGTCACGGTTTGAGTGTAATGATTATGCGAAAAATTAACAATTGATTGAATTAGCTATTGATGAACTCACGAGTAATTAACTTTACACTCACCATTGATCATGTCTTGTTTTTAATCTGCGAGAGAAGCGCTACACCTGCTGGAAAGAGGATGTACGGCACAGAATGACTGAATAATGCGTGCTGTACGTTACATCGTGACATGTCACACTTTAACGTACAGCGAAGTCAGTTATTTCAACTTTTCTCCAATACTATTAGTCTATTACCATGTCAATCAAGGCTGAATCGAAACTTAGTTCACACCCCAGATTTTGATGCCAACACAGTCGCTACAGCCCCATTAGTTTTCATTGCAGCCTTGTTTGAATGCCGCGGTTGCCCACATATGTACGGAACTGAGTTAGCTACCATTAGTCGGAGCTAGTGGAGCGCGGGTCAGCTGTTTGTCCACACTCAAACAATTGCTAATAACCCATCCACAACCACCCGACTATATGCGATAAAGAGAAAACAGGAAACTATAAAGATATGTGCTCATCACCAAATGTTTCAGAATTCAGACTGTCTACAGTGCGCTGTGTAACTCTTATTCTCTCTGAGTTCAGAAAATAAATAATCTTGGTTTGACTTGGACTCCAGCAGATCCTTATTTTATAATATCCACCACAGGCAGCCTACATCGTGGTGGTCAGTGCACGAAGCTGGGAACAGTGCGCATTTGGACAACCAATATTGCCTGGGCTTGTTCGGCAAGCAAAATGACTCACAGTTACCTGCTGTGAGTCAACCTTCTTTTCAACCACTTTGAAAAGAAGGTTGACGACATCCGATCCTTGTTTGTTAAGTCTAATGACACTGCTGGTCCTGCTCACACTGCCCTACCCTATGCTTTGACTTCTTTCTCCCCTCTCTCTCCAGATAAGATCCTGCGACTTGTGACTGCAGGCCGCCCAACAACCTGCCCGCTTGACCCCATCCCCTCCTCCCTTCTCCAGACCATCTCCGGTGACCTTCTCCCCTACCTCACCTCGCTGATCAACTCATCCTTGACCGCTGGCCATGTCCCTTCCGTCTTCAAGAGAGCGAGAGTTACTCCCCTTCTCAAAAAACCAACACTCGACCCCACTGATGTCAACAACTACAGACCAGTATCCCTTCTTTCTTTTCTTTCCAAAACTATTGAGCGTGCCGTCTTTAGCCAACTCTCTTGCTATCTCTCTCAGAATGACCTTCTTGATCCAAACCAATCAGGTTTCAGGACTGGTCATTCAACTGAGACTGCTCTTCTCTGTGTCACAGAGACTCTCCGCACTGCTAAAGCTAACTCTCTCTCCTCTGCTCTTGTCCTTCTAGACCTGTCTGCTGCCTTTGATACTGTGAACCATCAGATCCTCCTCTCCACCCTCTCCGAAATGGGCATCTCCGGCGCGGCTCACTCCTGGATTGCGTCCTACCTGACCGGTCGCTCCTACCAAGTGGCGTGGCGGGAAGCTGTCTCCGCACCACGTGCTCTCACCACTGGTGTCCCCCAGGGATCGGTTTTGGGCCCTCTCCTTTTCTCCCTATACACCAAGTCACTTGGCTCTGTCATATCCTCACATGGCCTTTCCTATCATTGCTACGCTGACGATACACAACTAATCTTCTCCTTTCCCCCTTCTGATAACCAGGTGGCGAATCGCATCTCTGCATGTCTGGCAGACATATCAGTATGGATGACGGATCACCACCTCAAGCTGAACCCTGGCAAGACGGAGCTGCTCTTCCTCCCGGGGAAGGACTGCCCGTTCCATGATCTCGCCATCACGGTAGACAACTCCGCTGTGTCCTCCTCCCAGAGTGCGAAGAGCCTAGGCGTGACCCTGGACAACACCCTGTCGTTCTCCGCCAACATCAAGGCGGTGACCCGCTCCTGCAGGTTCATGCTCTACAACATTCGGAGAGTGCGACCCTGCCTTACACAGGAAGCGGCGCAGGTCCTGGTCCAGGCACTTGTCATCTCCCGTCTGGACTACTGCAACTCGCTGTTGGCTGGGCTCCCTGCCTGTGCCATTAAACCCCTACAACTCATCCAGAATGCCGCAGCCCGTCTGGTGTTCAACCTTCCCAAGTTCTCTCACGTCACCCACCTCCTCCGCACACTCCACTGGCTTCCAATTGAAGCTCGCATCCGCTACAAGACCATGGTGCTTGCCTTTGGAGCAGTGAGGGGAACGGCACCCCTGTACCTTCAGGCTCTGATCAGTCCCTACACCCAAACGAGGACATTGCGTTCATCCACCTCTGGCCTGCTGGCTCCCCTTCCTCTGCGGAAGCACAGCTCCCGCTCAGCCCAGTCAAAACTGTTCGCTGCTCTGGCACCCCAATGGTGGAACAAGCTCCCTCACGACGCCAGGACAGCGGAGTCACTCACCACCTTCCGGAGACATTTGAAACCCCACCTCTTTAAGGAATACCTGGGATAGGCTAAAGTATTCCTTCTAACCCCCCCCCCCCAAATTGTAAAGTGGTTATCCCACTGGCTATAGGGTGAACGCACCAATTTGTGAGTCGCTCTGGCTAAGAGCGTCTGCTAAATGACGTTAATGTGCCCTTGAGCAAGGCACTTAACCCTAATTGCTCCTGTAAGTCGCTCTGGTTAAGAGCGTCTGCTAAATGACTAAAATGTAAATGTAAATGTAAAATCTGAGACCCGATCCTAAGCCGCTAATGTAGAAAGTGTAAAATTATTTTTTGCCTGATTAAGATATGTTTCTGCTTCTAATTTCCGACATTTTGGTAGTCAGCTTGTCTATAATTAGATTCATGCCGCTTCTCTTCGGTCATACGTTTCCCTAGAAGACTAAATAAACCTATGCTTACCAGAATAATGTCAAATTATATAATGAATGCTTCAATCTAGATGACGTCTGTAAAGTGGTGCAAAGACATTTAGAGACCGGGGAGAAAATGCAAATCGCTTTTTTTAAATTATTTTTTTACGGGAAACATTTTGTGCCAAATTTCCAAATGACATCAGTTTGACCAGTAGAAAGCTGTGAAAATGACCCAGCACGTTTCTGATAAGATTTCAGTTTAGCTTGGATGTATATTTTGTGGTTGAAATACTGTCAGCTTTTATGATGCTGATAAAGACAGCACCTCCAACTGCGCATTCGCATTCTCTCAAGATGCTGAAATAAATAAATCCTATTTCTCTACTCATGTTTCAGAGTAAAAATGTAGCCTACATTTGGTGTATTGTTTTACTGCAAGAATTGCTGGATTCTGCAGGAGTTCATATTAAGGCTATGAGAGGTTATATACCTAAAGTCAGTGTCCAGATTTCTATTTAACCCATCTGAACAGTATAGTGTTCAGTTCCCTTGATGTGCCACAAGTCTATTTGAAGTACCCTTCTTGCTACTGTCAAATTTGTATAGCGCCTCACAATCATCACACTGCCATCCTCCTCTTTTACCACTTCACCAAATCTTTCCCAAACATTACTTTTCTGGCCCTTTTTCAACTCTGCATTTCGCAGCTTTTCTCTTATTGAATTAAACTCCGACATTGTCCTTTTTGCCTTGGATCAACATTAACTTTTTCTGCCAGTTCCGAAAATAATTTGGCGATTGTCTTGTAGGCTATTTGACGCGAGTACAGTCAGGCCCTAAAGCTTACTCACTAATTCCAGATAGTCTAAAATAACTAAAGAAAAACCTCAATGTAGCATATACATATATAAAATGCACAAGAATGGTACATTAATTAATTGAAGGTACTGTTCTCTCTTTATTCAACCCATCCATCAACAAAATATTTCATGACCCTAAACCCACCCGCCCCGCGGGTTACGAGTCAACTCGCGCCTCACTAGTAGAGGTACACTCCGCCCACTCGTCTCCGTTGATGCGGAGTAGCGATATAACTAGAACACTGCTTTATATTTATGGTAGCTACATCGTGGAGTTAAATTGTACTTTGCTTGCTAGCTACAGTACGTCACACGCTGTTCCTGTCAAACCCCCCCCCCCCCCCCCCCAAAAAAAAGTGTTTACAAAACAAAAAGGCAGTCTTTTTTTTATACGAAGTTAGCTATCTATTCAAAATACGTTGACAAACTTCAAAGGCGTGCAGAAGTTGAGTTTTGGTTAAATTTACTAACATCTTCAAGGCGAACTAAGCTAGCTAGTTTTAGGCTAAAGTTAGCAGGCTAGCTAACAAACAATAAAGCAAGTTCTTGGAATTCTGTCTTGTTCCATTCAATCTAGTATTTCGTGGGGTTAAGATTACTGTTGCAATTAAATCCAATAGCTACCTGAATGCTATCAATTTGCCAAATCCAAAAATATATCAATAAGATTTAACATGAGAACATTTGGTAAAAGCTCGAAAAATCAGGAAAGAAAACGTTAACTAAGTTGGCTAGCCATCTTCCCATCGTGTAGCAAACGTACAAAGAACCCGCTGAACGCACGCCCTCGCGCATGCAGGATTGTTCTGTAGCTCCGCCAGATGGACACCATGCTTGCTTCCAAACATAACTTAGCTGGTTCGCTGTTCCTCCAAATTCAAACACACGCTGCATTTGTTTGCTACAAAAAGCCGCATTCCATTTAAACCCAACAGCCGGGCAAACTGTCAGGGTGATAATTAATGCCTGCCAATAAAAAAATAAAGACTAAATTCCCATAAATGTATGCCTACCTCGTTTGAAGGGTTTCATTCTTTGTTGATGGCTTGCTTGAAAACACGCAGCTGTCGAAGTTCCTTGTAAAATGTTTGCCCCAGCCAAACGTTCACACGAGATTTTCTTTCCAAGGTTTTGCACGCTTTTACTTTGGTGCTCGGGGCTTCAATTCTTCGTTCTTGTGACATAAACGTGCTGTTCTTCAACAGAACAGTGTCTGTCCATCGCGTTTCATAGTCTAGTAACGTAGAACAAATAATGTATGTTCTATAATTTCTGCTGCTTGGTTCTCTTTACCTGCACACAGCAACGCCAGCTCCAATCTGACAGTCGAAAATGTAATGATCCCGCCTCCTATACCAGTGCCCTCCAATTACGGCTCTTCATTTCCAGTAGACACGCCCGTGTCATCACTCCTGAGTGATTGACAGGATTAGCATTTACTTCAAATTTCAGACAGTAAATTATTTCATTAAAAAATGTTATTTTGTTATCGACATTATTGAAATTCCTCGCGCAGGATTAATCAACGCACAAGCCCTCTGTTTGCCAACATGTTATAGTTGCCAGCAAAACAAGGGGATTTCCTCGTGTCGTTGGAATATGCATTTATTATGTAACCGAAACGATCATGTTTTCTTGTTACATAAACGGGATAAACAATGTCGACAAAAACAGTGAGCCACTAATGGATGCAATAATTAAATATTATTCTGATAAAGTATTGACATAAGAACAGCAAAATCTTCCCAACAACGGCTGGAGAAAGTCGAAGCTTTCTCACCTTGATCCTGTACACACATCCTCTTTCACATGCAGGAATTTTCTCTTTGTAAAACAGTGCTGTGGGACTGCTTCTGAAAGGTTGTTGTTGCCACTGCAAATAGACTGTCTACATGTCAGGAAGTATTCCATCATTTTGTTCGCAGAATCCTCTGATTGACCAATAAATCAAACAGAACATTATGTAGGCCTACCGTTGTGTTTCAGAAGTGATGAAAAGGGAAGTTTTGGAGAAAATCTAATTGGCACTGCAATCCAATTATTAACATTTGTTAACTATTAATTAAATATCAATACAGCTTATCATTAAACTCTAGAAAATACATGAATATAGGCATAGCCTATCACCTATTTCGAAAAAGTGTGACAATACAATAGGTGACAATACAATAGGAAAACAAGTATACTGGCATGGGAGACTAACCAAATGACTCACTACAGTTGTTATAGATTACAGTGGGTATCATAAATATTCAACCCCCTTGGACTTCTTCACATTTTATTGTGTTACAAAGTGGGATTAAAATGGATTAAATTGTCCTGTTTTTGTCATCAATCTACACAAAATAAACTATAATATCAAAGTGGCAGTAACATTTTAAATACATTAACATTAATGAAAAATAAAACATTCATATACTTTGATTAGATATGTATTCACCCAGAGTCAATACATGTTAGAAACACCTTTGGCAGCGATTACAGCTGTGAGTCGTCTTGGGTTAGTCTCTTAGAGCTTTGCACACCTGGATTGTGCAGTATTTGCCCATTATTCTTTTCAAAATTCTTCAAGCTCTGTCAAGGTGTTGGGGATCATGGCTAAACACCAATTTTCAGGTCTTGCCATCAGTGGCGACCCGTCATTCAGGGCAGGTGGGCAGAGCCCCACCTGTTTTGAGCCCCACATGTTTAGCTAAAAGATATATACACTACCAGTCAAAAGTTTGGACACACCTACTCATTCAAGGGTTTTTCTTTATTTCTTACAATTTTTTACATTGTAGAATAATAGCGAAGACATCGAAACTATGAAATAACACATATGGAATCATGTAGTAACCAATTTTTTTTGAAATAAATCAAAATATATTTGAGATTCTTCAAACAGCCACCCTTTGCCTTGATGACAGCTTTGCATTCTCTCAACCAGCTTCATTACATTTTAGTCATTTAGCAGACACTCTTATCCAGAGCGACTTACCGTTAGTGAGTGCATACATTTTCATACTGGCCCCCCGTGGGAATCTAACCCACAACCCTGGCGTTGCAAACGCCATGCTCTACCAACTGAGCTAAACGGGACATACATTTATGAGGTAGTCACCTGGAATGCATTTTAATTAACAGGTGTGCCTTCTTCAAAGTTAATGTGTGGAATTTCTTTCCTTCTTAATGCATTTGAGCCAATCAGTTGTGTTGTGACAAGGTAGGGGGAGTATACAGAAGATAGCCCTATTTGGTAAAATACCAAGTCCATATTATGGCAAGAACAGCTCAAATAATCAAAGAGAAACGACAGTCCATCATTACTTTAAGACATGAAGGTCAGTCAATACGGAACATTTCAAGAACTTTGAACGTTTCTTCAAGTGCTGTCGCAAAAACCATCAAGCGCTATGATGAAACTGGCTCTCATGAGGACCGCCACAGGAATGGAAGACCCAGAGTTACCTCTGCTGCAGAGGATAAGTTCATTAGAGTTTCCAGCCTCAGAAATTGCAGCCCAAATAAATGCTTCACAGAGTTCAAGTCACAGACATATCTCAACATCAACTGTTCAGAGGAGACTGTGTGAATCAGGCCTTCATGGTCGAATTGCTGCAAAGAAACCACTACTAAAGGACACCAATAGTAAGAAGAGACCTGCTTGGGCCAAGAAACACAAACAATGGACATTAGACCAGTGGAAATTTGTCCTTTGGTCTGATGAGTCCAAATTGGAGATTTTTGGTTACAACTGCCGTGTCTTTGTGACACCGTCTGTGATTTATTTAGAATTCAAGGCACACTTAACCAGCATGGCTACCACAGCATTCTGCAGCGATACGCTATCCAATCTGGTTTGGGCTTAGTGGGACAATCATTTGTTTTTCAACTGGACAATGACCCAACACACCTCCAGGCTGTGTATGGGCTATTTTACCAAGAAGGAGAGTGATGGAGTGCTGCATCAGATGACCGGGCCTCCACAATCCCCCAACCTCAACCCAATTGAGATGGTTTGGGATGAGTCGGATGGCAAAGTGAAGGAAAAGCAACCAATAAGTGCTCAGCATATGTGGGAACTCTTTCAAGACTGTTGGGAAAGCATTCCAGGTGAAGTTGATTAAGAGAATGCCAAGAGTGTGCAAAGCAGTCATCAAGGCAAAGGGTGGCTATTTGAAGAATCTCAAATATATAAAATATATTTTGATTTGTTTAACACATTTTTGGTCACTACATGATTCCATATGTGTTATTTCATAGTTTTGACGTCTTCACTATTATTCTACAGTGTAGAAAATAGTAAAAATAAAGAAAAACCCTTGATTGAGTAGGTGTGTCCAAACTTTTGACGGGTACTGTATATATATATATATATATATATATATATATATATATATATATATATATATATATATATATATATATATATATTTGTTGCCTGTTTTGCCTGTTATTTTGGCATTAATACTTGTCACATATCAGTTTGCAAACAATGTAAAAGCCGCATACAAACATGATCTATTGTTTGCTTTCTTGAATAAGGCAGCTCCAAAATGCAGGTGTTTCAGCCTAGCTCAGTGCTTTCTGTAGTGGTGGGGCAGCCTACGGAAAATGCGTAGCATAGGAGTTGGTAATGTTCTCTAGTTGCGCCATGATTGGCTCAGTGTTTTTTTGTAACTCATGGGGACACTACATCACCGCAAAATCTACAGGGAGAGCTTGAAAATTCAAGCCCCTTGGGTGCTGCCATAGAGTTACAATAGAAGTGCCCATCCAAGAAGGCTCAAGGTAATTGGTCACAGATAAAATCACGTCAAATCACGTTATATCTACAGTAGCTTTGATTGGACTGATCATGTCAACATCATACTTTCAAAATCTTAGCTAGTAAGTTAGCAGTCATCATCATGAATCAAGTCAACAATGTACTTTCAAATCATTTTCAAATCTTGTCATATCAAGAGGAATTATGAAGAGAAATTATAGATAAAACATATCGGTGCTCATCGGCCATTGGACATAAACATTCCACAACAAGTTGGAAATCGCAAATTTAGCAATGAGTGGTTTGGAAGGAATCAGTGGCTAACTGCAAGCATTGCAAAGCAATCACTAGCCTGCTATTCATTGGAGTGGATGTGTGGTTAAAGTCTGGGTTTAAGGGTCTCTTTTCCAAGCTTAAAAGGATCAACATTGAACATTAGTCATGCTGTCAATCCAGAATGACTTCTGTCGCTTTCAAAACAACTGGAAACTTGGAACTTGGAAAAAACATTTTTAACGGTCATCCAACTCGGAATTCCAAGTCAGGAACTCGGGCCTCTTTCTAGAGCTCTGGCCTGAAGATCACTAACGTCATGATTCGACCTTGTTTTTTTCCGAGTTCCCAGTTGTCTTGAAAGCACCATAAATCCAGAGAATGCCAGACTTTGATGATGAAGTTTGATGACAAAATTCGAACACGAAGGACCGCCGCACCACCTTCCTGTTCAAGTGAGCACAGCACAACAAGGTGAGTCCAAAAATGTGTTGTATGCTGCTGCATAAATGATGTAATATATCAGGGAGATATGTATACTGTAGCTAAGAAAGTAATACTAAGTGCATGTTGTGTAGTAAGATGTTAGTAGCCCATGTGCATCACCCTAATAATTTGGTCCCTTTTCCCCTCATAATTTAGCCTACTGTTCTGACTTGGTGGTGTACATGTAGCCTATAGCCTGTTTTAGAGAAATGTCATCATTGAATATTGTAAGAGCTTTCATTGACTACTTATATGCCCCCTTTATTTATCCTACGGTTCTGACTTGGTGTTCAGGGAGAATACTGTAAGAACGGCCCATGTTCTGAATTCTGTCGCTGTACATTTCAAAACTGCTGAACAAATAGTTATATTGACTACGTCCGTCCTAGCTCGCTCATTAATGTCTTAATCGAAATTACGGATTGCCTCTTATCCGCTCGTCGTCCCCTTATGCCACAGTTTGTACATCTCAATTGTCAGTAGAAACCACATTTGTTTAAGCAAGTCAGCCATATCAGCTATG